GCCAAAGCCAACCTCCTTCGATAACACTCGGAGCCGACATCAGAGAACGCCGAATACATGAACGATGGTTGCCATCACATCACTGACAGGTGAAGGGTAAATAAACGCTATTTCATCCTCAGGTACCGCTCTTCACCTTCCAATGACCCCAAACTTTCCACCCGGCTTGCGGTTCGGATGACTCCATACTTCTGCGTAAATCACCAGCATCACGCAAACAGAAGGCAATCTCAGATTTTCCGACATTCACCTCTGCGTGATCAGCAAGAGCCGAATCCTTATTTGTTAAATGTGTGATGCCGACGTCGACTCTTTGTGACGTTGTACCAGAGGCTTCACATGATACTCTCATGTCGAATCCGGTAAGATTGATGATCAGGAATGACGGTGAAATCATGATTCGCAACGACGGCTTCTGTCACGGACAAAGACGTGACATGTTCTTGTCAGTCCTCCCAGCGGTACGGATTGTCAAGGGCAACCCCCGTCCGCGACTGTCCATCGGAATATGCAGTCGCCGATTCTGAAGGTCAGAACCGCAGAAATCTGAAGAACTCCGCAGTCACAGACCTGCCGCCGACCCAAGTCTTGTGTCCGCGTCCCGCACTTGTGACCTCTGCGACGTTCAGCGGATACCCTGAGTAGCCAGCGCGGCGCGGTTCGGCCGCACGCCGCGTTCATTGATCACCCTCCGTGACACGGCATCGCGACACTACGTGACGCGACGACCTGTCACACGCCGTCACACGGCGTCCTGTCACACTTGGTCACATGGTGCCGGTCGCCGCCGGGGTCGGTCAGACGAACTCATCCTCCTCGCAGCCGACGCCCCAGATGAGGCACCCGCCGGGGCCCGACGAGCAGAACACCAGCATCGAGGCTGCGAACACGAGCGTGCACACGATGCAGGGCCGCTTCTCCAGGAAGAAGCCGACCAGGTAGAGGGCGACGAACACTGCGTGCGTGTGCAGCAGCGCCGGCTGCAGCGGCTTGGGCAGCAGCAGCACCGGCAGCAGCCACTGCAGGCAGTACATGGTGCGGCGCCTGCAACACAGAGAGCGACGGAGTCAGATAGCGGGTCAACAGCACGGAGAAATGCATTATTCATGATGCGTTCCAAGAGCGCGGAATAACCTTGTGGCTAGTGGTCCCTGGAAGCACTCAAATCATCGCCATCAGCAACCAATAAATATCAAGCCCCACTTCCCAGAATAAGGTGGTTGGTCTAGATCTGTGGGTTGGTCTGAGCGTTGCCTGCTTGCAGTACTCAAATGTCTCAGAAAGGCTGATTGTGAAACACGATGCAGGAGAGAGGATGTCTTTCGGCCCCATTATCAGCCGGGCAAAGAACACGAAACTTAAAGGGTTACGTAAGCTGTTTTAATTACTGTTTACAGTCATCCTCTTGAGTCCAGCACAAAAATCATTTCGCTGGCGACACCGGGTTTTTGGGCAACTCCGGCTGGGCGGGTTGCGCTAGCCGCGGAGACAGCCTTCCGGGATGGGCCGCGCGGGTGGTGACGGACAACAAGCCCGTCCCGTCCCGATTAGATAGCGCAACCGCGGCGGTCGAGGCTCCGCCGTCAGCTGACGGGTCGGCTCGCTCGGTCCGGCTGTCACCAGTGAGCGGCGCCGGGCGGGCGGAGGGGCCGGGTGCTGGAGCAGAGCGTGCCGGCACAGGGCCTCTGCACTCTGCACTCAGCACCCTGCAGCCGCCAGGGACCGGCGCCGGGGTGGGGCGGGGGCGCCCCGCACCAGACCACCCCGGCCCACCCCAGTCCGCCCGCCCGGGGCCCCGGCGACCGCCGCAGTGGCGTGAGGTGACGCAAGGGCCGCACTGACGCCTGTCATCACACCGAGGGAGGCTCGGGGGCCAAACTGTGCTGCCAGGCACTGGGGCAAACGCAGAGAGCTAACGGGATTTTTGAAAAGGAGGCTTGTCTCTAAATTACAGCTACAACGCAACGGCTGAAACGGTGCGCAGTTACATTATATGGACTCCAATAAATCTAATAAATGTCGCAGAAGAATATGAAAACGAAAATTATGTAACAGAGCTGAACAGGCTTCTGAACAATGAGTTATATAACCTATAAACAGCTCAGAATACTAACAAGGAAAGAAGGACCGAGAATGATTACGTCATCGCGCTCTGAAGACAGAGGCAGTCGGCGGGGACGGGCACGCACAGATAGGGACCGGGATCCGGGTCTTAGATGCTGAAATACAGTAGTGATAAAGCGATGTTTCGTGCAACGTATCCAGGGAATTCCACTTTATATAACATCACAACCATAGCAGAGTAAAAGCATCTTACCTATCATGTAGGAAAAACGGTGGGGCAGCTATCACAGAGTATAAAGCGTATCAAAGGAGCTATTTCAAATGAGCTGCATTATATGCATACTGATACGCCACATAATGCATGTCACACCCAGCACAAATTAGTACAATTAACAGTATATCGTATTATACAAACAACTACGTTGTGCTGTGCCTATTATCCTGCTGCATGCGGCTCACGCCTCAGCATTCTCACCACCAGTATCAACTCACCTCGTTCAACCTTCACCAATCCGGTGTCCGCTCTTGCACTGGCCACTGATCACCTCTTCTCTCCACACAGAGCGCTCAACTCGGCCCGGTCTCAGTCACCGTACACTCGCCCGGCCGGCGTCTAACGTCAGACTGAGCGAGCGCGGCGTACGGCGTACGGCGCCGGCCGCCGGCCGTCGGCCGATGACGCATTCGGCCGCCCCCGCCCCCGCCCTGAGCAGCGTCACAGCCGGAGGGACGGGCCGGGGGAGCACCGCGACATCACACGCCCACGGCGTGACGGCGGTGGGTCAGAGTCGGTTTGGGGCGGTGCCAACCGGAACAGAGGGCAGGAGGGTGAAGGGGAGGGTAAGCGGTCGATACGTGTGGTGGGGGAGTATGCGAATCGCAAGGTCAGCACGGCAAGGTCACCACACACAAGAGTAAAACAAATCGAGCAAATTTGTTTATACCCTTCAATCAAATAAAGCCAGGTATGAACACACCAAAGGTAATTGGTAACCAATAAATGAGGCATGAAATATACGAATAACCACAAAAATTTTCTACGGAAATTGTGTCAAAAAAGCTAACAAAGCACCCAAACATGACCTTTTAAAAAAGGCAGTCGTGGACAATTAATTGTAAAATGTGTCATGGCCAATAGGAAGGTAATTTTGCACACGGTGCAAGTCAAGATTACTTTACGTGCAAGTAACTAGGTAACTCAAACACCGTCTCAATTTTTTTTTTCCAATCGAATACGCGACTATATATGCACAATGGCTTGCCTTGAACTCTGACGGTAACCATCCTTAAATACTTCACAAAGCTCGAGCCGGTCGATCCCAATTCCTTGAGAAGAGGTCTTACATGCCACCATCCTGGTACGAAAATAGCACATTCCAATCTACAAAACAAAATAACTTCTCCTTGGCAGTCCATCCACATTCGGGCTTCGAAACAGTCAAGTCATACACATTACATCCCGATATTGACCCAGGAAACTGGACCTCGAGAGGATACCATTCAATCAAGAGGATACCATTCAAACCCAGACTGCCTATTCAAACAGTGCCGTGGTATGCAGCTCACGGTCCACCCGACCCGGTGGAGCGACACCACGACACCTACAGCGGCCATCGCCCCGGCCGACACCGGCGGCCGGCCGGCCGGACCGGCGCGTCCGGTTCCCTGGACACTGACCGACCCACGGCCCAGACCCGACAGAAGGCCCGGCCGGCCCGCCTCCCAGCCAGGACTGGCCGTATTTGGCCACCCTAACCCCCTCACATGGACTGGGTCACCGCGAGATACCGGTCGGGGTAAGGTAATGCCGGTCCGGTGGGTTAGCTGCACTGTCCTACAAACCCGTCCGAATAAACAGGACCAAAGTGTGCCAAATATGAGAGATAATCCCGGCAAATGAAGATACCGGAACGGCTTACGGCATTCACTCCACACGTCAGTGACATCAGAGAGGGTATTATGTAAGGTCCTCAGGCTCACTGAATGAACAGCCTGAAGTGGGACGCCGAGCGAGGTTATTAAAGGGATGATATAGTAAACAGACATTCATTAGAAGTCCAAGTGCATAAAATCTCATGAAGTGAGAATTCGTTTCAAAACAAAAAGCGATAGGTTGAAGCACTGGCCACAAAAAGGTAGAATTTTTTTTTCGAGACTTCCACAAGACGAGTTTAATTGTTCGGGGATGGATATGAAATGTTAAGGCATACGGCCACATAACGAACATAAACTGCCTTTCAACTCACTCCGTTATATGAGATAAAGCAGACAAATTGTGGAACCAACAACTTACATCGGATCAAAACATGACGAGAATAAAGATTTCACAAGGATTATGCCATTGTCACGTCATGCAAGGCAGAACGAGTTGCAACATGCATCGGGTACAGGACCCGGTCAACGCTCTTTGTTAAAACTTAAAAGCATAAATAGCTCCAGCATCAGAGCGTAGTCTCAATCACATGCAGCTATGCTTCAAAATATCGAAGTTAAGAAACGTGGAAAGTTGATCCAGTTCATAAGCTTGTGCGTTTATCGCTAGGCTCGACTATTTGCCAACTTCTTAAATGCATCAAACAAACTGTTTGATGGTAGTCTAAAAAAGGTACAACAAAGAACCTAATGGAGATGAAAAGTGTGATGCAAACGCTAACACTAAACAAACATTATTTTTCCTCGTTAAAAGTCGGGCTGAAATTGGCTCTGAAACACACACAATGAAAATCAGCTTTACCGACTCAGCCCATATTACGCCACCGTAAGGCATTAGACCTGAGGCCAGCACATGCCATGCCCACCAAACACCATACTTTATAATTCAGCAACTAACTAAGAGTCTAAAGGCTACACTACCAATTAGTCACATCATATAAGTCATCCGAATAGACAGCCATGTCACTAAACAAACGACTAGGGCAGGCAGCATCCCGGCAAACCTGTTCGAAAGGTGGGCTCAGTGGAGTCGGGGTCGCCGGAGGCTAGCGTCATTTTGACTTAGTCCGAGTCAGTCGCTGCAATAGGAAATACCGTCTGAATAAGCGGGGAGTTCTGGCACCGGGTTCTGGGGTGAAGATGTATCGCTCGTGAAGAAAGCAAGGTCTGCTGAACTGATGGGGAGCGCTCTACAATCTCGAGGAACACTGGTAGTTGGCACTATTTCTACAGGCGAGGACGACGGATACGAGATCAGAACCATAGCTCGTGGAGTGGCGAGCTGTGTCCCAGTCTGTGCCAATGAGGTCGATTGGTGGCCTATTGATAACAGGTCGTCAACATTGTGGGAAAATGACCTCTCGTCACTCGAGCGTGTGCGTGAGCAATCTGAATTGCTAGCATGACTTCTCCTAATGTCTGATAATTTTGAGTTTTGCATCCCTTATGAAAGATTGATGGTCTGCATTCCACTTGCAATGCAATGTGCGTTCACACGATAGTACATCAAAAAATATATAATTACAGCAGTTTCTTTTTTGGCAAACTTTCCAGAAAATAAAACATTGACTTCATTCTCTCTTTTTGATGATCTTTCCTTTCCAAACATCGGAAACCTTTCTGCAGAAGTTTCTGGCCCAACAGGGTTGACACATTGCTCTTGAGAGCCTGGAGCTGGATTTATAATTGTTTCTGCATTGCCAGTGTTCAAATGGGAAGTCATGCGCCACTACAGGGCACTGGGCATGTGTGAAAGCAAAAACAGCATCACCAAAAACCTTTTCTGGGGTTGCATCAACAACAACCCCACAGTGCACCACCCACTAGAGATCAAATTGGGAGAACAAGCAGGGGTGCATGCCTAAAAAGGCTGTGCCAGAAGACATGGGCATTGGGCAAGTTAAGCTGCAGAATGACCTTCTGGGCACTGGTTGGAGGAGAAGTATGCTGCTCCCTGAACAGCTCTGGACCTGGGCATTGCTGCTGTTTGACAGTGACTGGCTGTGAGAAAAGACAAATGGGCAGACCCAGATAACAAGACAGGCCAAAATATAGACTGTTCAGTATTTGTAAGAACTATCACACCAAATCCTAAGCAATTATTGCATGCAATTTATGCACAGTCCATGTAATAAAATTATGGGAAGAAGGGTGCATCTACGGTCATAGACCAATGGAAATGGAGTAACACTAGCTCAGTCACCTCATGAAAAACAACATTGCTTTGAATGCTTATGAATGCATTTGAATCATTTTAGCCTCAGATGTCCAAAATCAAAATTATTCACTTTTTCAAAAATATTTTTAAGACACAAACATCATCATTCATTTCAAATTTCACACAAAATGTGTAAGAAAAGAAAGGATCTAGTAGAGATTTTATCAATGATAATCAATCAGAGCAACAAAAAAATCCTGCCATTGCTACACCTCCTGCCTCGGTCTTCAGCCACCCTTTCCGATTAAGGTCAATGATTTAAGCGATTATAACTCATTCTTTGCTACTTAGATTTCAAAGGAATGTGAGAAGTGACCAGATCTAACAATTAGGTAGTTATGTATCCTTGTATTTTCTAAATGAATCCTCGATTGAGTTGACGGTTTAGAAATCAGGGAATCAGTTCAATTGAATTCTCAAATTAGAAAGAATCTTCAAAGAATTAGAGTGACAATAGCAAATCATTAAATCCACATTTTCAATTCAGTTGTGGGTTTAAACGAATATTAACTCAAGAGTGAGGCAAATGAGTCCCAAGGCAATAACTTACCTGTTATGAAGCTATAAAATCAGAAACTCTGCAGCTTCCCTTCAGCTCTGTCTTCAACTCGAACCCAAATTTGTGTTGAGTCCGAGTCAGCAGCACGGTTAGAATATTATCGGTGCTTTCTATAAGAGCCCGGCATTCCTTCAATAAACCCACAATTCACAAACACGGTTTCCCGTTTCAGCCAAAATGTTGCTAAATGTGGAGATTTTCTTTTTTCCCAGTGTACAAACTTTGGTACAAACACGAGTGACCTTGGAAAAAGACAACTATCGGAGCTCTAGTTTCAAATAGTGGCGCAGTGAGCACAAGCAAATTAAAATTGTGAGGAATGATTGCGTGATTGTTATATGCCATGCGGTGCTATGTATGAACTATGAGATCTTTTTGTTGAGCTACTAAATAACAATATTTAAAAAAGTTTTTGAAATGTAAATGCAAGTTATTCGAATGGCATAATACGTTTACAAAGGAATTTCAAGCCGAGGAATATTTGCATGCATTTATATTTTATCAAAAATGGCCACTGCAGCTAATGTTTGAAATTTAGGTCCCAGCGCTGAGAAAATAAGAATGTTTGAGATTTTATCCATTCAATCATTTATCAGGGTGAGTATTCATCGGAAGGAAATCATAAATTGCCATGAATTGCTAGTTGATTGTCTTGGTCAGCATCTTACAGCAGCACAAGTGAAGTTCTGCCTAGGTGTCGCTCTTCTATTTGATAATGTCAGAGTAGATGGCGCTGCCCTCACGCTCGGCTTCGGTGGCGTAATGTTACCAGGCGCACACACGCCCCAGTTAGCTCAAGGATGCATTTGTCTATGTTTGACTTGAATGTGGCTTCCTTATTGACGATAAGTGTTTTCCCGTGACCGGCATCAAAAGTTGATGGGCGAAGGCTCATATAGGTTGCACCGGCAGCCGATGCTCGGTGGGCATTGGCAAAGCCCCAACCGGTGCTAAAAAGTAAAAGCTGAGAGGGATCCTCTAAAGTTAGATCCCATAGTGGGCCGTCCATTTCTTTCTACAGTGCAATGTCATAGGCGTAATGTTAAAATTAGCCTCTCTTAGGGGAGCATGGATCTTGTGGGAAAGGGAGCATGATTCCCGTGATAAGTTCCTAACCCCCGAAGCGGTCAGTGGATCTGGAAAACTGCCCGTTTACATAATGGTTCAGGGACAAGCGGTAAGCGGTGCTCGAACGATGTCAAAAATAACTATTTAAAAGGGATTCATCGATGCTGAAGGCCAGGGGCCAGGACAACTGATCAGGTCAAGAGAAATAATCGACGGCGAAATGTTCCCGCTCTTCAAGTTATTGGTTCACAGCACGTACCTACGTAGCTTCTAAAATTAGAGCATACGATGATAATTGATGCTCATCCCGCACCAAAGACAGTGCTTACAATTGCTTCACGTGATAAGAGAGAAAATTATCAGGTGTCATTTAACTGATTTGTTAAACGTCTAGACGATTAACAAACTGTTAAACGTCTAGTAGACATTTCGTCTAGTCTGAATTATGTCGGCAGACTATCGGCATGTATTTTTATATATATTATATATGTTACAGGCAATGTGTGGAATCAGGCATTCTATAGAATGCCTAGGCATTCTATAGAATGCCTGACCGACCAGGCATTCTATAGAATCCCTAGGTATTCTATAGAATGCCTGACCCACCAGGGATTCTATAGAATCCCTAGGCATTTTATAGAATGCCTGATTTTCAGGCATTCTATAGAATGCCTAGGAAATACACGAATCTTTCCAACATATTAGTGTATGTTGTATGTATAAGATTATGAGCACAGACCGATATGTAACATTATTATTTTCTGCCAGGCTACCTTGCGGTCAGCTATTTATGCTCATTCAGTCAAATGTTCATTCAGTCATTCATGTTCATTCAGTCAAATTTTCCGGTCAGGTATTCAATCTAGCCTAATTAGGTCAAATTGTATCAGGATTTCATTCTGAAAGTACAGAGTATTTATCTTAACGCTAGAAAGACGATGGTGGTAATGTCAATATCGGAAACGCCTTTGGTAAAAATTACACAGAAAAAAAGTTTGACAAATCGTCCATTTCTGGATGTGTTTGCCTTCTAAGGAATTGATTTAAGGTTAAACTGGAGAAAACGGCTACGAGCCAAAAATGGACACAAAAATTTGCCTGACCTAAAAATGGCTTAGCTATTTGTTTTAGATATGGCATCCTTTCGAACATTGGCAAAGAAAAACTGGAGTAAAATTTCATTATTTTGACGACCTTTCGAATACCGCATGGCCCAGAAGTCAAGCTGGAAGGGAGATCGAACAACACCTAATCCGGCTCTTGTTACGGCCGGGCCACCGCCCGGACGTGAAATAATGAACCATTTGTTCAGTTTATTCACTGACATTACAGTGTAGGTTGAGCTGTCCATGTATATTGAGAGTCGTTACACGAAGTGCTTATGACGACATAAAATATGACCTTTGGTATATTATTCACCTTCATTTCTAACATCAGAACAAAGCCACCGTCATTCGCAATCACTTTCGATTCAAGCCTACGGTCCACCCTCCCAGCCAACACTCTTCTAATGCAGTTTCGTATCTGTAGCGGCGTAATCCTCCGAGGGTAACCGTTTGCGACTGGTTGGCCTGTGGCTCTCCTGCGTGCCTTGCGCCGTGGCTCTCCCGTGCCAACGGGATTGGATCAGTTGCAGCTTGCGGCGCACCATTTGGTGGTCGGCATAGCCAAATTTCTCCCTCGCTTCCTCTCAACTCATTGCCCTGAAATGGTGTGAGGTGACGACCGGCCTAGGCCAACAAAGAAAATTAGGTTAACAAATAGCATTACTGCCACTGACCCCTAATTTTCGAAGTGTGTTTCGGACAATCAAAATACTTAGGCATTCTATAGAATGCCTGGGAGCTTAAGCCAGGCATTCTATAGAATGCCTAAGCAGTCAGGGATTCTATAGAATACCTAGGGATTCTATAGAATGCCTGGTCGGCCAGGCATTCTATAGAATGCCTAGGCATTCTATAGAATGCCTGATTCCACACATTGCCTGTAACATATATATTATATAGCGGCATGTATTTTTTACCTTTAAGCGCCCGAAACATATCGGGGGTACGGGATCATAGGCGTAGGAACAGGGGGGCCGGGGGGCCATGGCCCCCCCCCCCACTTTCGGAGGTGGGGGGGCCAGCAATGTTAACTGGCCCCCCCCCCCCCCACTTTTTGCTGACTTAAGTGTCTGTCGCCCTTATTCGATTGTCACGAGGCTCAAGAATCCCACGCTAGCTATTAACAGCTCCCAAACCAGTCTTTGAGGGTCCTACACTGATCTTGGAGGGCACTTCAGTGGCGGTCAAGCGCCCACATTGACCGCTGAGAACCCACATTGACCTCATTTGAGGGCCCCTAAACCGGCCTCAAGGGCCCAGTCGGCGTCTGAGGGCCTCACACCGGCCTCTGGTGGCCTCATTTCTGTCTCTGGGGTCCCAAGACTAACCTTTAGGTGCCTCTGAGGGTCCTGCACTGAATTCTGATTTCTGAAGACCCGATGCCGACCTCTAAGGTCCGCATCGGCCTCTGAGGGTCCATCTTGGCCTTAGAGGTCCAACGCCGGCCCATGCCGGTCTTTTAGGGCCCCACACTGACCTTTAAGGGCCTATGCTGGCCTGTAAGGACCCACATTAGCCTATGAGGGCATTGTACGGGATTCTGAAGACCTGATGCCGGCCTCTGAGGCCCATTTTTGTTTTTGAGGGTCTTCTGCTGGTCTCTAGGGTCCAACACCGGCCCATGCCGGTATTTTAGGGTCCCACATTGACCTCTAAGGGCCCCGCACTGGATTCTGAAGATCCTATGCCGGTCTCTAAGGGTCCGCATCGGCCTCTGAGGGCCCACCTTGGCCTATGAGGGCCTTCCGCTGGTCTCTAGGTTCCAGGTCCCGCCCATGCCGGTCTGTTACGACCCCACACTGACCTCTAAGGGCCCATGCTGGCCTGTAAGGACCCGCATTAGCCTTTGAGGGCCTTGCACTGGATTCTGAAGACCTGATGCTGGCCTCTGAGGCCCATCTTGGTTTTTGAGGGCCTTCTGCTGGCCTCTGGGGTCCAACGCCGGCCCATGCCGGCATTTTAGGGTCCCACACTGACCTCTGAGGGCCCATGCTGGCCTGTAAGGGCCCACATTACCCTCTGATGGCCCAAGTCGGCATCTAAATGTCTCATCCTGCCATTTGCAGGCCCTGTACTGGTCTCTGAGGGCCTCAACCCTCGCCGGCCGATGGGGGGGAGGGGGCGGGTGCCGCCCCTCCATAGTTTTTTTTTTCGCGATAGCTCCAAACACGCCGGTGATAGAGAGCTGAAGCTTTGCATACCTGACCTTTGAATCAAGCCGGATCTTTTGACACCAACCGCATCTTCGGGTCAGATCAGGTCACTGACCCATGAGGTCATAAGTGAACCTCTGCACGGTCTTCAGATGTCGCAACTTCGCAACGCCCGCACTGCCAGAGGAGATTTCACAGGGAAATGAACCTTGGAGGACCTAGTATCCATTAGGAATCTCACAACTTGTACATCTCGGATTTTTCCTAAGATCATTTTCGTGACCTCACCATTAGGTATAAGTCAATGGGGATAAACTGAAAACTTTTTCTGGCGCCGGAAACGATCTTCAACTATCTCAAGCACACTGAATCGTGATTTCATGCACTCCTTGCAAGGTTCGATACGTCACTTTTGCAATGTTGACCTTGCGCGACGTCATTTATGAAGTTATAAGGGTCATATAAGTTTGTCGTCAATAACTACCGATCAAATTGAGCTAGCGAGTCGGGAAAGCCATCAATGGACTCAGGAAGACCTGCCGAATCGAATGATATGCGACATGACCTCCTCCGACCAATTTCGTGACCTGGGGGCGCTGAGCTGACCGTGACCCGTGGTCAACACCCTCAGTTTACCTCACCCAAACAAAAAGTACATCATTCGACGCGCCTGAGAGAGGCGAACACGATGCTGGCAAAGTCGCGGCTCTGCGGCCGTTTTTTGCGAAGTTATTCACCAAAAACGGAACCGTGCCTTGAGGCACTTGACCTGACCTCAGAGGTCACCGGTTGACCTAGAACCTTAAAATCGGGTATCGATCTCTGCGTCTTGTAACGGCGCACACGCTCGTTTTTCCGCGACGCGCTAGCTCAACCTGGGGCGCAACGGCGAGGGGGGTCGTACCCGCCCCC